TGTGTGTGTGTGTGTGTGTGTGAGAGAGAGAGAGAGAGAGAGAGAGAGAGAGAGAGAGAGAGAGAGAGGGCTTTGGAAGAAGAGCACGGCAGAAGATCACCTCATCTTTGGGAGCACAGCGAAAGACAAAAACAGATCATCACTAACAGAAGCCAAATTACACAGTGGAGTTGAGCTACTAAGATATAATTGATTCTGCCAGGATAAAAATGGAACAGAATTAAGAGATTACAATGAGAATCATTTGGGTACTAGAGAGGCCCCTTAATAACAGGCGTGCATTCGAATCCTAGTGTCGTCATTACAGCCTCATTTTCCTTGCTAGTGTTCCCATGATGAAGACCTAAAAAGAAGCACTGGCATTTTAAACTACTCAGGCTCTCTAGCTGGATTTTTTTTCTTTCTTTCTTCTCTTTTCATTTCTTTCTTTCTTAGGAAAAACGATTCTCCCAAGTTATTAGAAGAAAGCTTTAGAGAGCAGCACTGTGAATGTACAGAGAACAGCAGTGAAGGCATCAATGGAGGATTATAGGGCATTGACAACAGAAGAGAAATTACCTGTGTGCATTTGCTCCAAGGTCCCCACTCGGACATGACACATTCACTGGGACACAGAAGAGAGCAGGACTGGGTTTCTGGGGGCATTTCTTCCTGGTTGCAGAGACTGTTATCCACAGTTCTACCTTCACTATCAGCAGTGTTCACACATCTGTAAGGCAAGGTCACAAGATAGTTTCATTACTTAAAACAGCACAGATTACATTTAAAATAGTTATGATGCATTACAGTTACTTACTCCTCAAACATAAATTAAGACCAGCAGAGAAACCAGGAAAAAAATTCCTTCTTAAGCCATCAGCCTTTATTGAGTGATAACTCAGTGTAGAACCTTTTACTGAGCAGAGCAGGAGAAAACAATGGGAACTATAGACAACCATTGTCCTTGAAAAACTCTCAATTTAAATGGGTTTATAATATATTTATTCACGTCCAGCACAAAGTGAATTTTCTTTTTATTGTAACAAATCTTGAAGACTCTCCTTCTCTCAGTGAATCCATCACTTTGTAATAGCTGGGGCCTTCATAGTTCCTGTGACTCTCTCAGACCTTTCCTAGACTTCTGTCACATATCATCTAAACCTCCCTCATCTTCATCCAACACATGTAAGGTCGTGGCAAAGTAAACTGAAAAATAATTGGACATGTTTTTCTTTGAGGTATTTTCTGCAAACCATTCAGGAATTTCGGTATCATAAACCAGAGGTCAATGAGCAAGCATTTTCTTGCAGCAATTGAGCGCACAGTAAAGAAGCAAGCATTGTAGTTGCTTGGCTTATTTGGTGTCAGGCTTAGGGATTAAGTGCTGGTGACAGCAAGATAAACAAGCATGTGATTGATTCAATCAAATTAAAACCAAAGTATCATACCACTCATAAATAATTAAAAACATGGGAAATATCAAGGGTTGGCAAGAATGTGGAGCAATTTTAACTCTTCTTACTCTGCTGGATGGAGCACAAACTCTGGAAAACTAGCTGCTAGCGTCTACTAAAACTACACAGATACATACTATGTAACCCAACAATTACACTTCTACTTAGGTATGCAAAAGAAATGTGTACGAATGTACACCAAAAACCACGGACTGAAAATGTTCATAACATACGGGAATAATTACCATAATCTCTGTGTCTTAAGCAATGTAAATGTATTACCTTATAATTCTCTAGTATAGAAATCCATCATGGACTTCACTAGGCTAACTCAGTGCTTTGGAAGAGCTGCATTCCTTTCTGGAGGTTCTAGAGGAGAATCTGTTTCTTTACCTTTTCCAGGCCAATAAAAAGAATAATTTCATTTACCTTGTTTTAGAAGACTACATGATTTGAGTATGGAAACCAGACATACGGAACATCTTATTATAAAAATCCAAGAAAGTTCGTGCTTTGGACATTTCTTCCCTTCTGGAATTCTCTTTCTACAGATATTCACATTAATTCAGTCTCTCATCAAATATTTTGCTGATCAAATGTCCCCTAAATAGTATTCTCCATCACTTCAACTAATTTTTTTTTCTTCTTCTTGGCATTTCATAGCAAAGACATTCCATTAAATTCTAATTTCTGTGGTTTTTTTTTTTTCCTCTCTGCTGCTATATTGTAAGTTCTTTGAGGACAGGAACCTTTTGTTCACTTTTTTATCTCCCAGTTCTAGAACAATGTCTGATAATAGAAGACACATGTTCATAAGTATTTTTTGAATTAATAAATGATTGCAGTCATGGAGGAACCAAGAAGACGTCCTCCAGTTTATAGGCTTTAAGAAAGAGAGCAGATAAGTTGTTTCATTCATTCTAACAGCATGCTATTAAAGTCAATAATGTTTAGTAATGCAAGATGCCTGGGAAATCTGCTTCTTATATTTCAATGTGATCATCCACATAACTCATATAAAACACTGAGTATTATGAGTTTTCTAGGGCTACCAAAACAAAATGCCACAGACTGGGTGGCTTAAACAACTGAAATGTATCGTCTCACAATTCTAGAGGTTAGAAGTCTGAGCTCAAGGTGTTGGCAGGAGTGGTTTCTTCTGAGGCCTATATCCTTGCCTTGTGGATGTTCCTCTTATCCCTGTGTCTTCATGTGGCTTTTTCCTCTGGGTCTGTCTGTGTAATAATCTACTCTTCTTAGAAGGATGCCAGTCAGACTGGGTTAGGTTTCATCCCAATGACATCATTTAACTTTATCTTTAAAGATCCTATCTCCAAATGCAGCCACATTTTGAGGAATTGGGGATGAGGAGCTCAACACATAGATTTTGGGGGCCATCATTCAGCCCATAGCAGGGTAATATGTGATAGCTGTGTTATTTTTATTATATGATGCTCTGCAGGCTTGAGCTGATAGGTATGGTTGAAAGGACCCCTTGTTCAAGTATGCTTTTCTCAATCAACCTGCCACAATTCTGTCAGTTGCAATTTATTCTCTTAAAGCTTTCCTTTCACTTCTGAGATTTTGCTTGAATACTGGGAAGAGGCCTGGCTGGGATGAGAGTAAGAGATACCACAGCTCATTTACATATTACTTGGTAAGCTAGGCTGGTCAGTCATTTCTCTAAGCCATGAGCGAATAAGACAGAGGACACACAGTTTTTTTTGTCTGTTTGTTTTTTGTTTTGTTTTTTTAGTTGAGCCTTCCTGCTACCTGTTGGCAGCACAGCGGCTGCTCAGCTTGGGCCGGGACTCAAACCGCTGTTGCTCAGAGCTCAAACTCTTGAGCGAGCTCTTAACCAACTGAGCCACTTGGCCGGCCCCGAGGACACACAGTTTTCGAAGGGAAAGAGGTAGAAGCACAAAGTTTGTGACAGCGGGAGCACAGGAGTCCTTGGGGAAAAGAGTGTGACCAATGGAAAAGACAATTTGTCCACTAGCTGTTTGCTTGGGCTGGTGACGAGGAGCATGTCTATACTTTTGTCGGCAGCTATTTCTTCTAACATGCCTACCAGGTTTTGCAACACTGGGTCTAAGTCTCACAAATGGTGGGTATATGCTGAATTACTAAACTAATCAAGTTCACTGATGTTGAATAATGGTCAACACATGTAGGTAGGCTCTAACTTGGCAACTGACTTCAACCTAAGTTAACTCAGTAGGGAGTTATCTGATTTGGGCAGCATCTGTCCATGCAAAATGGAGTTTCCTAAATGTGGCAAAGTGATATGCTATGCTCATGCAATTGAACTGTTGACCAAACTGCTTTCTTCTTGATTTTAAATACTAGTCATTTTTTATCATTAATATATTAGCTTTTGCTTGTTCAGTTTCTAATGTTGATTAGCATTATTCTTAATTGGTAAAGAAATTCTTCTTCTTCCTCCCCAAATCATTTCTAAATAGACTGTTATGGCAAACTCAGGCCAAAGTGTTTCCTGAAAAACATCAACAAGAGCTTCCTTTGGTCAACACTGCTGTATTTAAAACAAAAACTTTAAATACACTCCCTTAGTAAATAACTCAGAATTCATTAAATTCTTTCAGAGATATATTCTTTTTATGTTAAAATGTATTGCTACTGCCCATAGGCACTCTCAGACTTTAGTTCCTAAGGCTAATAGTGGGAATGTAAATTGAACTCTTCAATGCAGTGACATCCAAAGTTAAGATAATGTCCATTAACTCTACTAACCAAAGAGCAAAAGGAAACCTGGCAATGTAGTCAAAACCTCCTCATTTGTTAACACTGATGGCCACAAATCGGTGGAGAAATGCCAGCCTGTTCCATGCAGTCAGCTTTCCCACCAAAGTACAGGAAATGGTAAGGACTGTGGCTTTATTGCAGAGGAAATTAAGAGTGCAAGCAACACTGTTGCATAAACTCTGCTGCTCCGTTTCCCAAATGTCTCCATTTCCACACACCTGATTTTCCTAGACTGTGTTCCTCCTCCACAGCGCAGGGACCTCAGCTCATTGTGGATTTTGCATGGAGACCAGTGTTCTACAACCCAGGAATACTGATCACACTCACTGTAACACGGGACTGCCTCGTGCACCTGTCAAGAACATGAAAGGAAAAAACAAATCACGTGAAATGATCCAGGTTATAGAAAAATAGCTTATCTTTTTGTAATGCCTGCTGAACATAACCCAAGAATGATACTCTGGCCCAAAGAGCCAAATTACATCCCCCAAAAGCAAGATATATTTGGATTCTCTGAAATGACTGACTTGCCTAAAGAAACATACAAAGGAAGTCAACTAAAGAGGAGTATGCCTTTGCAGAAGAGAACAAAGGACAGCCATTTCCTATCACCAAGAATAGGAATTTCATTATCATTTCATTTCCTCAAAGAGCTCACACAGCATCTATTAGATAGCCCAGCTCTCAATTATATGGTAGATTGTATTCTCAGATGTACTTTAAGATGTCAATTGAAACAAATATGTGAAAGGAAAATTTACTCTTGAACATAAGAGGTTTTTAGAATACATAAGAAAAGTGGTATTATTTGCACCGGAAATTTCTTTTTATGCCCCCAAATGATCAATGCTAACAGGCAATCATTTAGCCTCCTGGGCATTGTGGCTTCATATAAATTTAGCTACTTGTAGGATGTTTTCAGAGCATAACTAAAACACACAGACGCACATGCACGCGCGCACACGCACACACAACAAACACTCCCTGTTAGAGGCTATGTATAATCACTCCCTGTGAATATTTACTATTTCATGGCAAATACAGTGACTACCATAAATGATTCTTAGGTTATTTCCTATGCACTTGTGATGATTTTTTTCCCTGAAATTTTATCCCAATGGTCAGTCAATTGGGTTTGTCTGCCTCTCTGAGGCTGCATTTTAAATGCATTACTCCTGGATGTGGAGAACAGTGCCCTCCCTCAGTAAGACAAAAACAAAAAAACAAAAACGTGTTCCACTGAGTGATACATTTGTTCTAGGCCACAAAGATGGCTCTAGTATAGCCAGCTGGGAAGGAGTGGTTCAACCTATTACCAAAATAGTTGATTGGTGCTTTTCCTTTTAAATAGGAATATAAGCCCGAGTCCTCTCCTCCCCTTGCCTTTCTAATTCCATAAAATGGTAACTGATAACTAGGCAGTGCTTTCCAAACAGAACCATTACTTGCAGGTTTATACTAAATGCAAGGAAAAGCAGTATGAAATGGGATCATCAGAAAAGAAGATTGGTGCACTGTCAGCATGTTAGATGGAAATCAAATGAGAAAAGGTTATTTGCGAGACTGTATCTTGGGAATCACAAATAATGTCAGAAACTATTTTTAACAGTGGGGTTCTATTTGGCTCTCATGTAGAGTGCACAAGGATAAGGAAAGCCACAAAGTGAAAAAATATGTGAGGGCAAAATGAAAGGAAATGGGAAAATAAAAGTGGAAATGGGTGTGAGGAAAGTAAGGAATTAAGTAATAAAAGAATCACATTTTATGCTGAGAATGCTGACAAGAAGGGTCTGAAAGGGTCAGAAGCAGTGCTTCCATTAGAATAAGGAGGTAATGGCTTGTAAGGGAGAAAAGTGCTCCCAAAAAACCCCAAACACAAAACAAAACAAAACAAAACAAAACAAAACAAAAAACTCATAGGATACTAGAGGTAAAAGAAAAACCGAAAAAAAAATGAAGACATGACCCCAACCAAACAGACACCAGGAAACTGAGATGAAGCTGAAGATTTAGCTGCCCCAACTGCACTGCGGAAATGAAACTTTCACTGAATTTATAGGTTTGTTCTATAAACTCTTCAATATGTATCAGAGAATTTAAAGAAAGCTTTTTGGCTTTCATCTGAGATATAAGAATGTATGTCAAAGTACTTCACACAAATGGGGTGGATAAAAAAAAACAATTGAAAATGTAATTTTCCCCACACCTTATAATGCATGAACCTGTAAGCAAATGGATGGGATATCCTCTCTGAGATAGATGTATTTTTCTAAAGCTATCAATACTAAGCAGAGCTTGTATTTCTGCCCTCCCTCCTGTATAAAGCCCCAAGGTCAGGTGGGAAAATGAAAAACTGTTTAGTTGAATGTACTTTGTACACACATTTGAACCGGTCATATATTAGTTTAGTGTTTTTATTCTCTATGCTCTAGTGATCTGCATCTGCAGCAGAGTAGCTAACCTGAATAACAAGCTATTGGAAGATAGGGAGCAGGTCTAGGTAGGAAGAAGTTGACCCATCTTCTTGACTAATGGTATAAAACTATCACCTTTTCAAAAAATTCTTCAGTCACATGGATTTACTTCATTTCCTCCCATATGTGTCTGCCATTTTAATATTGCTCATGCTGTCACTTCTAAATCCCTACCCTTCCTTCAAAGCATAAATAAGTCCCCCCATTTCCATAAGGCTTTTCCCACTTCCAGTTGGCATGTCTTTGGTACCCAGTGACTGTCTCGGTTTTAAGCAGACTTGTAGCTACATTATAATGTCAGGGTGGGCACTTACAGGGCTGGGACAGGGGTGGTAGTTAGGGCCACAGCATGAGTTGCTGGGGGAGCAAACTCATTTGATAAAGTCATTACCTTGACTTCTGTATCTCCTATTCTCTCATACTAATGTAACCCTTTTTCTCATCTTAGTCTGAATGACTGTAAGTCTACTTTGCACCTTAAATAATGCTGAGGGAATATGTTCAGAGAAGCACATCTCCACACCTAAATATGCTTATGGTCAGCATATTTAACCAGGAGTCAGATCTACCAGTGTTTATGTATGTGACTACCGGGAGAAAAACAAACAAACAAATAAAAAAGTTTGAGTCTTAGGCAGACAGGGACTAAGTTTCCCTGGTGTCTGTGTTTCACAAGACATGGAGTGGGGGGTGGGGGGTCGTTAGTGCTCAAAATGTATTTGTTGAATTAAAACTAATTTTTGAAGGGACCCAGGTTGCTAAATGGTTCTTATTTAATTCTCTAGAGAAAACAGCCTCACTAAATGAAACCTACAAGGGGTGTTTAACAAAGCTCAAAGGACAATAAGAATGAACAAGAATGAAAAACTTTTCTTCCCATTATGGGGCTTTAGTGAAGAATAACAATCACTGTGTCATCAAAAGGCCCTGCCTGATGATTTCGGTATGGGAAAAAAAGGCTGTCCCTTAACAATTGTGAAAATTATCTCTTTAGAGTCTTTGTCCGTCAGCCAGGCAAAGAATCTTACCTAGAAGATCAAAAACACCCACAAGAGGCAAAAAGGCAGCAGGTGTTCAAGAATTAAAATTAACTACTCAGATGCCCAGTTTCTTCTTCTCTCAGTTCTTTATGTTCTGCCTATTTCATATTGCTATTAAGTTGGTGCTTATCATAGTTTTATAATGGAAATCTGTTAAAACATGGATTTTATGAGGGAATCATATGGAAATGTTCTGAAGGAGAGAAATGAGCCATGGGAAAGTTAAATGAAAATCATTTTTAAATGGCACGAATTAGGAAGAAAATAACAGGGTTTAATAGTGCCATAGATACTAAAAAATGCTACTGAAAAATCTAAATCTACTGAGAGGTAACATTACATTCTCCTAGTAATGAGTCCTATTTATTACTTCTTCATTGGGCAACTGTGTTTTTATAATTTTGCTAGTTCCAGAGCCATGTCATAAACAGATTCATGAAGTCAATCTTTTAATATTTATTAAATAAGCCATTTTAATTGATCAATTTAATTAAATACTGTTTTCTGATACCACTGTCCAACTACAGTTTGGCTCCCCTGGCATACACTTGGAAGTTGGGGCTCATTGGGGCTCAGCGGAGGTCAGCGTTGCATATCAGAGTCTTAAGGTTCAAATACAAAGCAGACAATCCAACAACCACAATAAAAACAAAAACAAAGAAAGGAAAATTCAGGGCCTCCAATTTTCTGTAGCAATGCCCCTTTGCTCCAGCGAAGCTGCCAGGTAGGACCGAGGTAGAATCCTTCAGGATTGAGACCTCCATGCTGGGCACTGTGGCTACTTAGTAGAACCTGAAAATCAGTTCAAAGGCCCATCTGGGGCCAGAGCCAGGGGCTGTCCCACTGGAATGTGAAAGAAACTGGCCTCCAGAAGTGGTGAGACCAAGAAAGCATCAGGGCCTCCCCTCTCCTCCAGCTGTTATGAGGCCTTAACCTAAAGTGCACAAACTTGCCTCTCATTGGGTTCAGGATCCTCATCCCTTAACTTAAAGAACTTCCTTCCTAGCCATTCTCTACTTATCCATACCTCCTTTCTTTTCTCCTCCAGGCCTCACATTTTCCCTTCAGAAGGATCTTCTAGGTTACACCCTCCCTCAGCTTACCAAATTTGCCCCCTTTCTTATTTAATCAGCAACTAAGTTATACTCTTCTCCATTAGGACTTGTCTGACCGACTGGAAAGTATTACATTCACACAATTAAACATTAACTTTTTTGCTTCCATTTTCATTAATCATGCATTTAAATTGATTTGTGCACAATATAATGTATGCAGTGCTAAAGTTCAGTCCCAAGGCAGCTGCACTCACATGCCTTCCAATGTGCCCATCAACAGCCCCTGGTCACCAACGACACCATTGTAATGCTGCAGACGTTTATAGCTTAGATAAGACAGTCCACGTCTTAGGTCTCAGTGATCACAATCAATTGTGTTAGATGAGGCTGGAATGATCTCTACAGATAAAAATAACTAACATTGGAAGAAGCTACGTTCATCATTTATGGCTGGTGGTGAAAATGAGATTAAGGACCTCATTCTGCTGATGCTCACAGTGCACAGGCTGCCAGTTTAGCTTGTTCAGGCCCATCGCCACATTCTGAGAGATAGTATCTTTCCAGTGTGAAGATAATGCTGGTATTTATAAATTCCTGAAAAAAGGAAAAACTGAAAACAGAATTTTCAAAGATGTCTATATAGTCAATGCCTATTACTGTATATAGAAAACATTGCATAAGCAATTCATTCCTAGTCTTCGGGTAAAGAGTCTCCCTTCACAATTTCAAAAATCCAAAAAATGTCTCGGAAAACTAACTTTCATATTTACAGCCAGAGGCCAA